TAATAATTGAGAGTCGGGTGGCGTCCACTATTTTTGGAGGTCATGCGCACGGACGCCAGATTTGAACGGCTCGTCGATGACAGCCTTCGTGGCCTTGAGCTCAGCGTGACGAATAGGGTGACAGAATTCGAATGACGTTACTATGGCGTTATGTATGCCTGAATGGCCCCACAAAAGTCTGTACGAAATAGTCTGCACATTTTTGCGACATTTTAAGTCAGAAACTGGAGTATTTTTCGTGTAAAGAAGGGTAGGGCTGTGAACTGCACCCAATGATGCTCAAAATGACTATTTCAGTGCAAAACCCGCTACAGATTTGTAACACTCCCATGTACGTTTGAAACCGTCATATTTAGCATGTCTGATCATTAGTTAACAAGCAGCACGGCAGTCTGTTAGGATAACTGTGACCGGCGTTTAAACGCGGGGCCTACCCATGTGCCGGCAGGCTTGGTCGTGGTGACTTCAGACAGCGCTGCACTTTGGACTGACGGCCGATACTTCCTGCAAGCTGAGAGCCAAATGGACTGCAACTGGCAGCTAATGAGGAACGGCACAGAACCCAAGGTGGCCACCTGGATTGTGCTGGCACTACAATACTGGCCTGTACTGTAAAGTTAGCCGCTGTGCAGGCTGCAGTGGTCTAAGTGGGCGGCACTATTAAATCCGCGGGCTGGAATCTAGATTTGTTGTAATCGAAAGTTAGCTGTCATCTTGCCCAGGCCCGAACTTAATTTTGTTATGGACACCTCCTAGTCCTAGTGTCTGGAGGAGGCGTAAGGGTAGTTGGCTGATTTGAAACGTGAATAACGATTTTTAACATACGTGTTGGTTCATTCTTCGACGTCTATGCTTCCACTTTTCATTTCTCCACACAGTCAGACATGTTATTCATGTTTTTGCTGTAAAGATACAAGACATTCTACAAACCCAGAACCGGTGCTTCCGTGTTGGCAGTTGCTGCGGTGTGAGCGCTCCGGCTCAGGGCTAGCAAGGTCTGGTTCGTATCGGTATTGATATCAGCTTTTAAATTACGTATTGCATGTCAAGCACTTATTGACACCGCCCAGGTTCCGATACTGGCAACCCAGACACTGCGCTGGAATCACCGGTCTCGATCCAGTACTGGCTACCGGCACTGGGATATCGAAAAATCGCGTTTCCCTATCGTGTCTCCTTCGATGCTGTACTGCCGTTTGGTGAGTGCAGCGGTGCCGGTTTCTGTGTGACCAGCGGCGGGTCTGGCCGACAGCCGCCCTCGGAGGTGGAGTGGCTGGTCTCACAGCTGGAGCGGGGCAGCTCGGTCGGCGGCGACCCCCGGCTCATCGCAGCCCAGAACTGGCTCCACTTCGAAGCCCGGCTGAGAGGTGAGGCGCCTGACCACACACGGCCACCACAGCAACCGGCCACACACGGCCACCACAGCAGCCGGCCACACACGGCCACCACAGCAGCCTGGCCACACACGGCCACCACATCAGCGAGCCACACATGGAAATCACAGCGGTCGGCCACACGCGGCCACCACAGCAGCCGGCCACACACGGCCACCACAGCAGCCGGCCACACACGGCCACCTCAGCAGCCGGCCACACACGGCCATCACAGCGCCTGTGGATGGCACCTAACCAAATACAAAATCATTGGTGGCCTAAACGTCTCGAAAGCTGCCGTATCTCCAAATGCGTGCGGCGCTTCGTTTTGACAGATTTTCCGGAAAAAGTGCTGCAGTACGTTGAAATTGTTCGGCTATAACACGAGTGCTAGACTGCTATAGGGTTGGATTGTGCCATGTGGTGGCATTAGTATGGTATCATCGTCTTGGGGCAGAACGTTACGGCACAGTCATTTGAACAGAAAGAAATACAGGTGGAATTACTTCTGCTGTACTTCATGTTGTGGGGGCTAAAAGAGGGCGTTTTTGAATCAGCCGTTTGCTCTCGTTCGAGGGAGACTATTTATGTCAAACCTTTTGGAAAGGTGCGATCTTTCCGCTAGCTATGCGCTGTGAGGTTGAACTAACTTTGCTACTGGACGTCAAACCGTAGTGTCATTATCACATGGCCAAGTACCTCTCATCTTTTAATTAAATCATCGTGACGTACATACTAGAACTCATAAGCCCACCACAGATCTTTGGAAGCACGTGTGTTCAAAGCACCGACAAGGCAACAAACAAGCATACGCCGTCGGTTAATTTCATGCTTTTATTTTTATTCGGTCGTTAGTTGTTTCACTTCCGCTTGATCTCAAAGGACCTTTTTATGGTTCCTTGTATCGTCGGCAGATTTCATTCAGTTCCTTTGATACGACCTTTGGTGGTCCTCTAAACTCCTCTTTACCCGAAATGACCCGTTTCTTGGTTCTTTGAAAGTCACCTTAGTTCCGCAGTTTTTTGTGAACTATCTGAGAGGGCTCTCAGATTGGGTTCTTGTTCTTGGGTTCTTGTGTGTTTTTGCTTCCTTTGATGAGACATACATTGCTGATGTACCATAGTATGTGTAACGGTTACGTAGTACATTAACGACAGCCTCAGGTCATCTAAGGTCATGTCAAAATGACTTCACACGATCAAAGGCTGAAAGATGTTCTTGGTTGCAACAGCTGTTCATGCTCACCCACGATGTTTCAGTCTGTAGCTTGCTGATAAGTTGCGTTTTTGTCATACTCGCAAACACGTCAATTCAATCTACAGGGATTCAACTTCATGCTTCGCAACTCACAACGTATTGATTACGCACTGTATGCATCATATAGGGAATGCGTGTTACGAATGTTCGCATAGAATAGCGCACACTCAAAGTGTGGAATCTTTTCCACTGAGGCCGAGGTCAAAGTTGACCGACCGGTCCTGTACTGCATTAAAGGCAAGCACCAATGCATGCGTAAGGTTGTCCGACCGACCCGACGCTGCGTTAGAGGCAAGCACCAATGCATGTGTAAGGTTGACAGACCGACCCGACACTGTGTTAGAGGCAAGCACCAATGCATGTGTAACGTTGTCTGATATCGTTTCCAGGCACTATGAACATATCTCTTTACCTCTCATATTCCAATCAGTGCACAAGTTAGGTGGCGAGAGTTTGAATCTTAAGGACAAAGCCATGCTCTCCAGTGCTTTTGACATGACAAACTGTGATGGCCTTGAGTATATCAAGCTAGGATGTCTATCTTTTACAGCCCTACCAATGCCATGTTTCAGATGCGGGAATGCAGATGAAGCTGGTCTATGACAACCTGATTGATCTCATCTGGACTGAGGACAGGCCGCCGCGCCCTGCAGACCCCATCGTCATTCAGAACCTAACATACGCGGGTACGAACACCCACCATTACCATACACAACTTGCCGTGCGCACGTGCGCCCGCCGGCGGCTATACCAAACAGCCCGGCGTACGCAAGCGAGGTCTTACACACACACACCACCCGTGCCCAGGCGGATTTTTCCTACAAAAGCAAAGCAAAACACGAATGTTGTACGGTGTTCGCTGCCACAGCCAGTAATCCCCAAAACGTGCTCAGTGTGTCTCGAAGCTTTTTGAGAACAGGCACTCTCGGAGCTGCCTTCCAAGTCACATCATCAGACCCCAGCATTTTCACAATTTGTATTAGAGCTCACCATCTCGTTGCGCCTGGGCGTTCAAATACTTGGATTACTTTACAGAAACGGCCATATAATCTTATCATCCGTCAGTCATGTTGTTTTGCACCGCAAGTGAAGATTATGCAGCATAATGGTATCCTAGATGTTACGCTCCATTGGTCAAATGTTACAATGTTGTGTGCAGGAAATAAGGCATGCATCCCAGACCATTAGCAGCATGCAAGTGATTGGAAGTGTTTAATTTTCATAAATGAAGTTGGTCTATGTTTGGGGCGGACATATTCTCTCATTGCGGTCACGTTAGTCACCTGTCAGAAGTGACTAGATGTAGAATAGTTTGCGTTTAAGGTCACGCCTTATCAGCCAGAAAACAATCGTTTCGACGAGATCTAGATCTTATCTGCCGGTGCCCGACGCACCTTGTGAAATTCATGACCAGAGGTCCATGTCAAAAATAATGGAAATCGCTATGTCAGGCGGAAAATCAGATTCTTGAGAACGAAACGAAGTAAACAGGCACTACGACTCGAATCAAACACGTTAGTCGGATAAAAGTTAGCCACGTGTGTGGCTAAATTTTTTTTTTAAAAGTGGTGCGCCCGCTTTTCAAAAAGCTGCTGTATTGGCCGTCGAAGGTGGCGGACACTTTGAACAATCAGATGCCATGTTTGCTCGTGTAAAGAAGAGGTAGTATGGTTCCGCACATGGTCGCCTGTGCCGAGACATGCGCTCAGTGTATCTGAAACTTTTTTGAAGAAATGGGTATCAGTTATATGATAATTATCAATATAATGGCTATCACAGCTGTTATCAATTAACTAAGTGCCAGCCCAACAAGCGAGCATTACTTTTGGGTACCAGTTGGTGCTAGCTGTTTCTAGAGACTTGTGTGCTGCTGTAAGTTTTCGAGCTTTTCTACACACCTGAATGCTCAGCCTCAATGTGGGCGATCCAAATGTTGGACCTTTCTTCTTCCTAACGTCGAGCTCCACTACGTTGGCCTTAGGTGCGTGTGGGAGGGGGGGGGGGGGGAATGCAGACCGAGGCTGTTCCACACACTGCGCACACGAACGGGACATTCCCACCAGCTCTCGATGTCTGCCGCTGCTTCAGGGAAGCCGTGGGAGGAGAAGGTCGCCGAGCTGAGGGACTACATGAAGGAAGAGGATGTGGAGGTGCTGCTGGTTACCGCGCTGGACGAGGTCGCCTGGCTCCTCAACCTCCGCGGAAACGATGTACCTCACACGCCAGGTAACGGGTGGACGGCACGTCTGCGGCGTCCGCCCCGAGGCAACAAAGGCCATCCGGCTTCACAAACACTGACAAGCGCATCTTCTCACAGCGAAAGAGATGCATCAACGAGTGAACGGAAGAACGTAACCACTGAAGCTACATCCGATGAATGGTTCGCCTGCGCTAGTTCTGCTTCAATCGGACTGTGAACGCTATTGCTATTTTCAAAGACATTAATTCGCGTTGTTTGCACGGCCCGGGTTCGAGTTACAGTCGCCATTTTTAGCACATTGACCCACGAAACGCGGTTTTAAAGAGCCCGCGGGTCTTCTGGCATGTTTGGCCGTCCAGGATGCCCGGTCTCCGGTGGGTCGATCGAGCTGAAATCTTACTGCAATGTAGAAAAGTATGTTTACAGAGTGCAAACACACAGAATAACATAAGGAACTGATGCAAATGATTTCGTTATTTTCCGCCAGTATTCAGGGGTACGCCGCCATTGAACCAGCGACAGCGTCCACCTCTGGGTCGAGCTGGCCAAGGTCACTGATGACGTCAGACTCACCTCAAGGCCCTGGACTGTGCGGATGGTGACCTCTGCGTGCCGTGAGTACGCGGCGCCGGTTGAAAAACAGGGGCCGAGGTGGTCCGGTCTGGAGCTGAGAGCGGACCAGGAGGTGGATTACGTCAGGTGATGGGCTGGTCCGCGCGCAATTGCAGGGTTTGGTCAGTTATTTATCTGGAGCTCTTCGGGCATCGATCTCAAGTTTAGCTTTTTTACTCCTTTGATCTGATGGTCATCCGACATAGACCCCAAAAAAGGGACACAAGTTGTTCACATAGAGGCATACCCTGTGATTTTGGTGGCTCTAGCTGTCTTGATCTTTTAGATATGAGTCGTTGATTGACCCCCACCCCCACCCCTTACCCCAACCGCACCCGAGCACGGAACATTTATCCGGCCCAACCGAGCGCGAGGTTTGGTGGAGGGTTAAGATGAAATTAAGGGCAGTGTGCTAACCCGTCTACGAATTGCCATCTCATCTATATCAAACTGTGGCACTGGCCATTGCGATTCCGCTATATTGGCTTGGCATGTTGTGACTTTTAAAGAACTAAGATTCTTTTAGTTTTGCCCGCCTAACAATTCAATATATTTGCCTTCCTGAGATACTCGCAGGACTATAAGAAACGATACCATACCTCTTGGTGCGCTTACATCAATTTCTCAGACCGCTGTTAAACCACCACCCGCCGCAGCAGGACATGTTACCTGCTGCTGCGACAGGCATGTTAGTTGTCATTGGTACGTAACCTGATTGCTGGTATCTGGTTGCGACATCTTTCTTGGTGGTGGTCGGACTGCCCCCTAACGGTGCTCGATCCCCCGATTCCAGGCTGCATATGTACGACGAGGTTCTGTACAATTTTGGCTCGTACATACGCCAGAAATGGAAGGGGAAGATCCTCCTCCCAGCCCGCTCCACCTATATTGATGGGGTCAGCTCTCTTTCTACAACCAGGTTGGCAATCCGTGTTCTACTACATTTGTTTTGTTCGTAGTCGTACCTCGATCAAGCAAGTGGTATGGTCTGTTGTGCGCTGGCAATGTAATACTTTAAGCCTGCAGTGGCACTGGAAAAGGATGGAAACTGCACTGACCTGAGCCGCTTAGCTTAAAGCAATATGGACCAGATGCCAATTCATTATGGCATGCAAGTTCGAAGGGACTGTGGCTCGCACGTGATTCATCCAAAGGCTGGACGTTTAACTGCTGTAAAGCTCTATGAGCGATCAAGTTGACTCCTATTACATGGTCCTTCGGACTACTGATAACTTTGCCTGAGGCCGGACCTTTGAATTTGCGTGATTGCTAGTTTATTCCCTGAGAAACCTTACAACTGACCCGACACGCGGTTATTTTGTCGCCAGGTTCCCTCCGCCAGACGTGTGTTCGTCGAATCACCAATTGTGAGGATGAAGGGCCGAAAGAACCCAGTGGAAATCGAAGGGATGAAAGCCGCAAACAAGAGGGATAGCGTAGCACTCTGCCAATTCCTGGCTTTTCTAGAAAAAGAGGCAAGAACAGTTGGCAATGTTCTCGTAAGAAATGTAATGCAACATTCACGAAGCCGTGATACTGAGATTTGTGTGCACTGTGTATCAAATGATCAATGGTAAGCACGACTCGATCCGATCCGGTGTGGTCCGGTCCTGATCGTCGCCGTGCCGTGCCGTGCCGTGCCGTGCCTGTGCCGTGCTGTGCCGTGCTATGTTTTGGCTAGTGCCGTGTCATGCCGTGTCTCGTCTAGTGCCGTGTCGTGCCGTGTCTCGGCTAGTGCCGTGTCGTGCTGTGTCGTGCCGTGTCTCGGCTAGTGCCGTGTCGTGCCGTGTATCGGCTAGTGCCGTGCCGTGCCGTGCCGTGCCGTGTCTCGGCTGGTGCACTCCTGCCCTGCCCGGACTGATTCGGCTTGGTCTGGTCCTGTCCTTTCTTTTCCGCCCCCAAGGATCGGTCAGTTTCGATGATGTCAGCTCAGGTCAGTTTCGATGATGTCAGCTCAGGTCAGTTTCGATGATGTCAGCTCAGGTCAGTTTCGATGATGTCAGCTCAGGTCAGTTTCGATGATGTCAGCTCAGGTCAGGCCAGATCAGAGTATCGCACTAGGTCAGCTGCCAAGTCAATCTTTTATGTAATAGGGTTAGTTGATACTGTAAGCGTTTGCATATTTTTGCACGCTTTTATTCATTATCACTTTTCGCTATTTTTGGGTCACTGCTTTTATCTCTCTCGCAAGAGGTGCGTAATAGCCACGTCCTCGTGTGTGAAGTGTCAGCTGATATCAAACGACGGAAAATAAGAAGAAGAATTTTTGGGTTCATGTTACGTGAGGCCTGCCCCTGTCATGTCTTGTGGTCGAGTTTGTCCCGACTCTCTCCATTTCGAGTACGGACACGTTCAGTGAGCCCGGATTGTTCTGGGATGCTACGATGCCGTTCAGAACTACCCTGCCCTGTTCAGCGCGGTGGCTTGCGGTGCGGTGCGGTGCGGTGCGGGCGGTGCGGTGCGGCTGCAGTGCAGTATAGTGCAGCTGCAGTGCAGTGCAGTGCAGCAGTACAGTACATTGCAGTGCAGTGCAGTGCAGTGCAGTGCAGTGCTTGGTGGTTGTTGTGCGGTGCGGTGTGGTGCGGTTTCGTCATGCCTGAGATGTACCTAATCTAACCTGCACTGGCGGGCTGCATCTGGACCGGCTGGTCCGGTCTGGTCTGCCCAGAGTACAATGCAAAACTGTCGTTCCTGATCCAAGAGGACATTACCTGTCCGGTCCTATTATGTCTTTCCTCTGTTGATTGTACCATTCATATATTCTGCTATATTTAGGACTATTCTGCTGTTGATCCTTCCCCCCTGGCTACCCTCGATCACTTATACGTTAAGTATGTCACCTTTTTCATTTGACCTTTAAGCCGTGTTAAATTTTGCCTTTGTTGACATATTGTATTGATTCTTTTTCGCGTTTTGGTTTTGATGCCTATTGGCTTGAATTTTTTGTGACTTTTTTCTGCTTCGATTTCGTCTTTAACTTTGCATTCGGCCCCGCAACCCTCTTTCCACCCCCACAGGCCCAACGCGAAAAGGTTGTAAGTTGATGTCAACAGCGGAATTTAAGCAACAATGTGGGGAAGGCAGATAGGATGTTTTGCGTCTGTTCCAAACATATAACGCGATATAGAAGCCGCATGTCTAATGACCAGGTCCGCACCAAAACATTCCGTCCACGATATGGGCTGTCCACGCTCAGCACGTTGAGCTCATCCACGGCCTGCTTCCACCCCGCAGATCCAGTCGGGGAAGAATGGGACGAGCTCTCGGCCCGCCGATAAACTGCTGCAGTTCCGCGCGGAGCAGGACTGTTCATGGGGACCAGCTTCGAGGACGATCTCTGCGTTCGGCAGTAACGCGGCCATCATCCACTACACGCCCGACAACAACCACCAAACGAGCGATCGACACCTCGTCCACATACCTGCTGGACTCGGGAGGTGGGCACCCGCGCACCGACTGCGCCCGATCACCGGCTGTACCCGCTCACCGGCTACACCCGCTCACCGGCTGTACTCGCGCACCGACTGTACCCGCTCACTGACTGTGCCCGCTAACCGGCTGTACCCGCTCACTGACTGTGCCCCGCTCACCGGCTGTGCCCGCCACCCGACTGTGCCCCGCTCACCGGATGTACTCGATCACTGACTGTGCCCGCTCACCGACTGTACCCGCTCATCCAAATGTGCCCCTCTCACCGACTGTGCCCGCCTACTACAACTGTACCCGCTCACCGACTGTACCCGCTCATCAAATATGCCCGTTCACCGGCTGCCGACCGGCCCTGACTGGCGCGACCCGCTGGGGCAGCCGTCCACGCATGCCGCTGTTTGGCTATTAGTGCCCGCAACAGCAGCAGCCCACACATGCGCTACAAGCATGCCGCTGTTTGGCTATTGGTACCATAAATCTGCTCCCGGCTGAGTCGGTGGACAGAACGAGCAAGAAGCACGCGGCACCGAGGGAATCGAATACGAGGACATTCCGATCTTTGTGAGATGGCGCGTGAGCGGAACAGCAGCCCTGCTGCTACAACAGTGCCTTCAGCAGACCCATTGCTAGGCTGCCCTTATTTTTGAAGATCACGCTCTTATGAGTGAGGCAAGTATGGCGAGACCACACTTGAATTTTCCACTAATGGGCGATGGTCGTTGAGGTAGGAACTCCAATATATCCTCCGTTGACTTCAACTTAAATGTCACTACCCTGTACCCGATGTCGCTGCAGCTTCCTACCAGCAATGAAGAAAGACGAAGCCCTCATGTGGGCAGTTTTCAGAAGAGCTTTTTTAAAGCCCTACTGTTTTAAGTACATATCACATGAGACGACACTAAGGATGGTAAGACCGTCGGAGGCCGGAGGATGGTCATTTGTCTAGCAGGTTTGCGTCATCCATATGCAACTATTGATAAGGAATCTAACATGATGTATGATGACATTTGACATGTGCACGAAGCTTTTCTGGCTGGAGGTATTGCATTCGCATATTCGTATAAAACATGCACTAACTTGGAGATATTGTTGGCCAGATCGCGAGGAGGATTTGGGCCCTCACACTAGGACGCAACCTAGGTTTCCGGGTGCTGGTCCAGTGTGATATTCTTGCACTATGGGTCCCAGAGATTTTGCCAACTTTTTAACGGCTTGTGCATTATTTGTAAAGTCGAGTGGTGAGTGGTGATCACGTAGAGGTGTTCTTTTTTTAGATAAAACAGGATGCCTACATATGGCTGGTTTCACTAAGCTGCTTCAGTTTTGGTGGGTCAGATTTGCCGGGAAGCTTCGCAGTGTGACAAATTGTTCGCCAAGATAGGGCAGAAAGCCTTGGGCTGATCCACAGAATGGTGGGATTATGTTTATCTCACGCACTTGTACTTGTGCATTACCATGCATTCTGTGTTACAAAACGCGGTGTTTGTGTGTGAATCGGTCGTTACGCATAACTCAGGTCCAGTACTTGTACGTGTACTCCGCCTGCCGTTCACTCCAGTGCTTGTCGGGTTCCGTGTCAGCGCACCAGGTCGTTAATCTGCTCCGCCCTGGCCTGCGTCACAGGTCAGTACTGGATGGCACCACGGACGTGACGCGAACGTACATTACGGTCGGCACACCGAGTTCCAGATGGAGGCCTACACGCGGGTCCTAATGGGCGCCATTGACCTGGCCGACCTGGTCATCAACAAGCCAGGTCAGGACGTTCAGGTCAGTGAGACGTGGCCGGACGTGCTTAGCGATCGTGGTGCCGCCGAAAAAAGTGGTCTTAACAAACGCTATCCCACGAGAGGAATGCGTATGAATGCACTGAATTCGAATTTCGGCCAAGAATGGATGCTACACTCATTTTATCTGTCACCGCAGGACGTGGTAGAATGCTGAAAGGAGCGCGCCACCGCCAGGTAGTGTTGCGCAGCCTATGGTAACCGTATGGCGTAAAAGGTGCTCACGAATGATAGGAGAAACCATGTGTTGTACGAATATAAAACCAGCAAGCTACACTTTTGCAGCGGATGCCACGAAAAGTGAGGGCAATTGGTCGCCTTGGGTCAGTGATCTTTGACGATATAGGACACCATTTGACACTTGTTTGTTGGAAAGCAACGCTACAGGGAAAAGCAACGTTAACTAGGAATGCCCACACCTAAACGCTGCACTTTAAAAGGGTCACCTGTTTTGGTGCTATATGTCATAGCTAAAGTTGTCCTGGCTGGTTGCCTGAACTGGCCAATTTCCGACATGAACGCTACGAATTTCAGTTGCATGAAAATTGTTATGACATGCTCGAATTTGTTTTTTATAGTCGCGCGCGACCGGTTCTTCAGCAGTATTGGTAAGCTCTCACGGAGTGGGGTACAGTTCCTCGCTAGTGGGAGTGCTTCGCGGCACCTACAGCCTTACAGTATGATCAACTTGGGCTCCATGTTATGCTGTCAATTTTTCGTTGTGCATCATGTAACAAAGTATGCCCGCAGTGGCATGCAACACATGGACATGGAGCGGAAGATATGATATGTGAAAAGTTGTTTTCATCTAACCCGAATCACAGCCGATAGTTCTAGTGACGTGTAGGGTGGAGAGCAAGGCATGGACCAGGGAATGTTTGTTTTATTTTGACAGAAAATGTTTGTTTTATAACATATTCGGCACGTTTTTGTGATCATCCGGTAATGACTTAGCAGCAAGCACTTCCCGCGCAGTTCAGCTGATATGACCGTGACCATCTGTCGTCTGTCGTCTGACCGTGATCGTCTATCGTCTAACCGTGACCGTTTGTCGTCTGTCGTCTGACCGTGACCGTCTGTCGTCTGACCGTGATCGTCTATCGTCTAACCGCAACCGTCTGTCGTCTGTCGTTGACCGTGACCATCTGTCGTCTGACCGTGATCGTCTGTCGTCTAACCGCAACCGTCTGTCGTCTGTCGTCTGACCGTGACCATCTGTCGTCTGTCGTCTGACCGTGAACGTCTGTCGTCGTCGTCTGACCGTGATCGTCTGTCGTCTGTCGTCTGACCGTGAACGTCTGGTCTAACCGTGACCGTCTGTCGTCTGTCGTCTGACCGTGACCATCTGTCGTCTGTCGTCCAACCGCAACCGTCTGTCGTCTAACCGTGATCGTCCGTCGTCTGTCGTCTCTGACCGTGAACGCTGTCGTCTAACCGTGACCGTCTGTCGTCTGTCGTCTGACCGTGACCGTCTGTCGTCTAACCGCAACGTCTGTCGTCTAACCGTGATCGACCGTCGTCTGTCGTCTGACCGTGAACGTCTGTCGTCTAACCGTGGACCGTCGTCGTCTGTCGTCTGACCGGAATGTCTGTCGTCTAACCGTGGCCGTCTGTCGTCTGTCGTCTGACCATGACCATCTGTCGTCTGCCGTCTGACTGCGACCGTTTGTCGTCTGACCATGACTGTTTGTCGTCTGACCGTGACCGTGACCGTCTGTCGTCTGACCGTGACCGTCTGTCGTCTGGCCGTGACCGTCTGTCGTCTGACCATGACCGACCGTCGTCTGGGCGTGACCGTCTGTCGTCCGGTTGTTCCAGATGAGCCTCATGGTTCGACAGCCGCTGTTTAAGGCCGGCCTCAACTATCGACATGGATCGGGACACGGCATCGGGGCCTACCTGACCATCCACGAGGGTCAGTGGCGCAGAGAGTCATCCGCGAGGGTCACTGGCGCACAGAGGGGCCTACCTAGCCATTTGCAAGGGTCAGTGGCGCTCAAGAGGGGCCTTCCTAGCAGTCCACGAGGGTCAGTGGCGCACAGAGGGGCCTACCTGGCCATTCGCGAGGGCCAGTGGCTCACGGAGGGACCTATCAAGCCATCTGCGAGGGTCAGTGGTGGGCACAGGGGGCCTACCTAGTCATCACGGGGGCAGGAGGGTCGCTGGGCAGACCAATGGCAGCAGTGCTCGGTGGCCGTGACACTGAGTCATTCCTCTTTGCGGAGTGCAGGTCCTCCTGGCCGGTTTGGAGAAATTTTGTCAAGACGGTGAGGACTAGAGATTTGCCTGCGGGCGATACGGCCGTGGAATCGTCATGCTGTGTTCACCCGCCGTGGCGCGATCCTATTCGCGGCTTGCTGGCACGTTTTTCGTTGCCACCAAATTGTTGCCTCTCTCGTCACGAAGCGTTCATTTTTAAAGCGCTATTGGAGAAGCTGGCATCCTATTTATTGCGCACTGTTTGAATATATTCAAGATGTGTTTTGGGTCTGGCGGCATTAGATCCGATCTATACATAGCTTGAGTCGCCACTCTTGTGTTCTTTGAATAAAACTGACGTCAAACATGCTGGGATATTCAGGCCAGCGTTCAGACGGAGCCGCCGTAACGCGGTCCCTGGCCGCGGCCTGGGCCGAGTACGCGACGGCCGAAGTACGCAGCTTTGGTGCTCAGAGCGTCCACCAGGTGTCTGCTCAACCCCGTCCTGGCCGTCCTCCCAGGGCAGGGCGTGCCTGGGGCTTTACGACATATTCAGCTGCTGAGGCTCTATGGTAGCGCTTGCCTCACGCCCTGGCGGGAAAGACTGGCACCGCAGGAAACTGTTCCACACACGTCTGGTTTCCCAGACGCGGAACTTGCCACTACGCTAACGGTACCACGTGGTCACAGCCAGGCTCACAGGGCACTAGGGCCGCAAGTCATGTGGCAGGTGCGCCTGGCGTGATATATGCGTGCGTGCGTGCGTGCGTGCGTGCGTGTGTGCGCGGGTGCGTGCGTGGATAACACACAGTCGGCACCGAGAAGGACCACAGTACGGTCGTAATTAACAGTTTCACGTGCGCGTTGTCTCAGCCGAACGAAACACACAACAAGGGCGGCTCTTTTATGCGACATTGCCGCTGAAATATGGCCGATGACTGCGAGTGTGTTGTGTTTCAGGACCTATTCTCATCTCGCCTGGAGGAACTGGTCACCTGATGGAGAAAGGCCAGTTTTTCTCGGACGGTACGACTCAAAACCTTTTGACTTTTTACTACACGGCGGTCCTCGCCACCTAGATTGAATATCAAGTCACTATTTGATATGTACTCAAACCGCGATATTTTCGGGACGAACAGACGCTGAATGGCAGCCGTCCTCCAGTGTTCGTGGCAGACGTTAGCGCCGAAATGCCGTGCATCCAGTCCTCTGCAGAGCCTACACGCCCAAACTATGGAACCCAACTGAAAGGTCATGCGGGCCGGGGTGACATAGCTGACTTGGAAGGATATCGAACTAGTACTTGGAAGGCCTGTCTATGGTTTCCGGCTGCTGCTATCCCAGTAGCTGACCCTCAATGGGAAGGTGGTGCGGCGATGTGTCCCCACGCCCCCTGAGAAACTCAAGGCGGTTGGCTGGTTATTGCCCCGCTCGCGCCGGAAAAAAATAGGCATAGTATGCTAACCCCGATAGTAAGCAACATCAACGGTGCCTGGTGTGGTGACCATCTGTGGGTGGTGGCACCAGCACCAGTGTTGTCCCAGTAGTGACGAGGCTGCTGAGTGGACGCTCGGCAGGCGGCTGCTCTGGGTGGTCGCCCGACTGGAGTGGACGCTCGGAGCTGGAGTGGGCGCTCGGCAGGCGGCTGCTCTGGGTGGTCGCCTGAATGGAGTGGACGCTCGGTCGCTGGAGTGGACGCTCGGCAGGCGGCTGCTCTGGGTGGTCGCCCGACTGGAGTGGACGCTCGGTCGCTGGAGTGGACGCTCGGCAGGCGGCTGCTCTGGGTGGTCGCCTGACTGGAGTGCGCCTGACGGCTGACTGGTGTTTCTCAGAGCCGGGCTACTACCAGGACGGAGAGTTCGGCATACGGCTCGAGACGATCCTGTTTGTTCAGGAGCTGGACACCGAGGTGGGTACGGCGGCACACCTGGCGCTGACGGTTGATCCCCCACCCGGCCATCCCATCCACTCTGGTATCCGACTGTTGAAGTTGTACGTGCCGAGCGGCATGAGCTCTGACACAGGTGCAACGGCTCAGAGGGAGCGGGGGCGGGCACCAACCCCAGCATTATTAATACTTGTCAGCGTGTCTTTTGAAGGACGCTCTTGTTTCCATGAGACAAGAAGCTCAAACGTGGCTAATGATCGGCAACGGACAACGTGTTGGTGGATGCAATCACAGCAGCACAGAGACAGGAAGCCTGAAAAATCGGGCATGATCAATACTAATCAAAGCGCGTTTATTGATACACGCAACCCTGTAGCATGTATCGTGTATAGCGTGACTGCCTATGAACTGGCGTGCACGTAGCCCTGCACGGCCGTGACTGCCTGTGCACTGCACTGCACTGCACTGCACTGCACTGCACTGCACGCCGAGTGCGCAGCGCACAGCGATTGCTTCCACATGTCCCAGTGCGCCCAGCAGTGACGTGTGCGCGTGCGCACTTCGCAAAACAAGAAAGAGGATAAAAGAATTGCGTGCCATTGTGCCGGCCAATCTTTCAGGTACAATGGCCTTCTGCTAACCGAAGTAAACTTTTTTATATGCCCACAATGTGCCAGCAGAAAGTCGTTTGCTGCGGTGATGTAGACATCAAAGCGAAACGTAAAAGTGTTTACCGCAACGTGTGGCTTTCGTTTCAGCACAATTTTGACGGTCCATACATGCATTTCGAGCCGGTTACCTTGGTGCCGTTCGAGAGGAACCTCATCATCCCCGAGATGATGTCACGGAGGCAGGTGAGGTGGAATCATGCGTGAGGTGGTGACAGATGGAAGTGACACTCATTGGTCAGAAACACGCTGCCTTCCGTTTCTGACACGCATATCTTTCGTTGTCATTTGCGGACGAGCGATGTTGCCTGAAGATTTTGCATGGAACAATTCAGTGTGTTACTCGAAATGTAGAGCCGCACAGTTTTCCGGATTAAATTTCGGAGCCTGCAAGTATCGACTACGTATCGCACCACAAGTCGGATCTTTCTTCGAATAGTTCGTGTAGTCGAATCTTTCTGACGGCGCACGGGTAGAATACCACTGCGATGGTATTCAGGTAAGATCAGGGTGGTGTAGGCGGACGCAAGGCTGGTTTGCAATTGCTGTCTGTCATGCCCCGTCGTAGGCGTAACGTTACGTCCCCTGACATTGGTGCTGGGCTCTGCCTATCGCTGAGCTTTGTCTGCCGCGTCCATGTACCCAGCGGCGGCTGCCAACGCCCTGCTCTTCCCGCAGCTGGTCTGGCTCAACGAGTACCACCGCCGAGTGCAACTGGAGGTGGGCCCTGTCCTCAAACGGCAGAAACGAGAGCGTGCTCTCAAGTGGCTCGAGGCGCGAACGGCCCCTATACGGCCGGCGAAAATAGCGCCTTCCGTTGGGTTCACCATCAGCTCAGCCGGGCTGCCGGTGAAGTGCAGCACGGTCATGCTGGTCTGGTTGACCTCAGCTGCAATCAGTGTTGCCAGGATCATGTGAGTCAGACTGGTGTTTAAATGCGGGAGTGATGATGTACAAATGGCTGCGTTGTCGATAGTGTCGATTCATACAACTGCTGTATTCCTGGTTGCTGGAATGCCCTGCTTTTGTGAGCTCGATTTATGCAAGAGATGCTGAAAACATCGGGCACTGACATGCTACTCAACTTGCCTTTGTCGTGTCAGAGGAAGCCCAACTGACATTTTCGCCATCTTGCAGTGTCAGGGTCAGTTATTTATCCAAACACAACCTTCCAGTGTTGTTAGACGAATCGCAAAGTGTAGCGGAATACAAAATCCAACTGACATGTTTGGTGAGAAAAACTTAAAAAGCGCACGTGCTCGGATGCATATGATTTCACATGTACGGTGCCATCGTACTCCATGCTTCAGTTCAATGTCAGATGTGCTGTTCAAAAGAAATGTCGGGTCAAGGAGCCTTAAGTGCTGTGAATTCAGTAATCCTGGTTTACATTGATTGCACCAACGAGAGCGTCCCCTTGAGCAATGCCAAATATACCAATACTCGACTTACTGCACCCATGGCCGCACCACCGGACAGTGATCACAATGTAGACGCGAGCACGTCTGTGCAGGCAGGACGGCACAAATGGCTGTGGTACAGCCGTCTTCTCATACTTGAAACTACTAGCGACCTTTGGCCTTGCATGAAGGGAAATCAAGAAAAATGCTGAGCCTCCCGATCCATATTCTCAGAGAGTTCTCCGTCGCCACCGTTTTGGTTTCGACGACACTGCCTACAGAGACAGGCTTCTAAATGGAACTGACGTTATCTGTCAATTGTGTCATTGTGCAAAGCTGGCAACCTGGGCGCACATAGAGCTTAATCATCTATCGTGTATATTGGGAGAAAACCACTTCATTATGCGGGAAAGGGCTTTCGGTGAGGAAAGGAGTCGTTTTAACGAAATTCATAAATGCTGCTCATCTCTTGAATTTCTGATTGCTGTCTTCGTACACTGCGCCATCCCGGATGTGCAGCCATGGCTGTGCTCTTACCCTGCAGCGCCGAGACACGGTCTCCCCTGTCCCCGCGAGCGGAACTCGGGAACTAGACTGCCAGAGCGAGACTGTTAATTGGCCGGCACGCCGGTTAATTAGCTGTGAAGTTTGGAAGTACGTACGACTGTGATAAGCGCTAAGTCCGTTGCCATTTTCTCCCTGGTCCCGCACAGATTCTAATTCGAAAAGCGCCCTCGAAGGCCGGTGGCGAGCTCGCAGAGATCCGCTGCTTCGCTTGTCTGGCTACCGAGCCGCGATTTTATCACGATCCAAAGTGACGCGCTCCCAGCAGTTGTTGCGCCAGCTTGATAGCGTGAAGATCTCGTTCATGATCCGACATATCGCATCTATCAAAAAGGAGCAGAAGCGTTGTGGGGTCATTTATGCATCAACTTAAAAACTTTTCTCTTCTCGCTTGGCTGTCGGCGAGCAGATTGCAAAAGAACAGCGGACCACGCTACACAGCAGCAGTTGTTTCCGTTCGAGACGAGAGCTGTGTAGCACAGGCATGCCGCGGTTGGGCATTGGCAACGGTCGCTGACCCTAACATTCACGCGGTTGGCCATTAATTACCATGGCATGCAATAAATTCCCGAGATGGACGGTCATAAGCTGGTGTCACTGGGGCTTGTCTGGTTAACTGACCATGCAAACGGTCGGGATCGAGTTTCAATTCGGGTTGTGAATGGCTTCGCCCGACAGAGAACCTCGGCACGGATGGATTAATCTGGTGCCCGTCTTCCGTGAGCTTTTGAGACCATGAGGCTTTCCGCAGTGAAGCTTGGAAGTACGTACGACTGTGATAAGCGTTAAATCCATTGCCATTTTCTCCTGGTCCCGCACAGATTCTAATGCGAAAAGCGCCCGGGAAGGCTGGTGGCGAGTTAGCAGACAGTCGCTTGCTTCGCTTGTCTTGCTGCCGAACCAAGGCTTTGCTGTCGCGCTGAACACTTCCTTCGGCGACGATGGAAAACAGGGCTGTAGTTTACCTGGTAACGGACATCAGCCGACGACCCCAGCCGCTGTGCGCAGCTACACTTTCGGTTGAGGTCAGCAAGACCTCAGGATTCGTGTTATAACCGGCTGGCCACGGCTGAGTGGTCGGCACACATCTGCGTTGGTTGCGTTAATCCAGTCAGAAGCGCCCATATCGTCAGCTGAAGACGCCGACCCGGAACTGGCAGACCGGGAGACACGTCCGCAGGACCGTCCCGGAACTGGCAGACTGAGAAACACGTCCGCAGGGACTGACCCGGAACTGGCAGACCGGGAGACACGTCAGCAGGACCGATCCGGAACTGGCAGACCGGGAAACACGTCCGCAGGACCGTCCCGGAACTGGCAGACCGGGAAACACGTCCGCAGGACCGTCCCGGAACTGGCAGACTGGGAGACACGTCCGCAGGACCGACCCGGAACTGGCAGACCGGGAGACACGTCCGCAGGACCGATCCGGAACTGGCAGACCGGGAAACACGTCCGCAGGACCGACCCGGAACTGGCAGACCGGGAGACACGTCAGCAGGACCGATCCGGAACTGGCAGACCGGGAGACACGTCCACAGGACCGTCCCGGAACTGGCAGACTGGGAAACACGTCCGCAGGACCGACCCGGAACTGGCAGACCGGGAGACACGTCCGCAGAAGAGGGATGGCTCACGAAGATCAAAATGTCGATTTAAGGACACACGCTATGTTATGTCATCTCCACGTAGCAGCTCTGTACAGACGAAACCAACGAACAGCGGAAGCCTAGCAACTAAACAATCGCTAATTGATAGATCAAACGCTCATACCCATATCACTATCCACCATAAACACTTCGCAAATAACTAAAAACTCACCCGCAGTTCACACCAACACAATCTATGAGTACCACACGAAACCGTGATTGTTTTCGCCACCTGGCGTTGACCACCTCGTTGCAGTGTTCACATCGTGCCGCTCCACCGCGGTGGTACTTTCATATTCACACATCTTGTTATCTTGTTACCCATGGATGTCCCTGATAAAAAAGAACAGTCGTGTGCAGCGCTGGAATTATGGACTGAAGTGTCGGAGGTTGAGGATGTCCTGTCCGTTGGCAGGACTCTGTTACCGTGGTCAGCATTCGTGGTCGCGTCGTAACAAAACCACGAAGTATGCCTGCATGCTGCTTAAAACCGGCCATCTAGTTTATGAAATAGCTGCTGTTATTCATAGTGCTAGTAGGCACCTCATTTGGTGATGAGCACCGGGACGTCCACCGGTCTTTGTCCGGCGCTACTGACCACTTAATTGCCAATCCCTAGGCGCAAGCGGCTGCTCATCCCACAACCACAGTGTGCCCCGTACATCCGTACATCATATATCTGTCGGCTGATTGTTGGGTCTTTATCCTGGATATAAACCGCTTCCAGCACTTCTAGTTTCGCTTTTTGAGCAAACCATATATATATATATATATATATATATATATATATATATATATATATATATGTGTGTGTGTGTGTGTGTGTGTGTGTGTGTGTGTGTGGTGTGTGTGTGTGTGTGTGTGTGTGTGTGTGTGTGTGTGTGTGTGTGTGGTGTGTGTGTGTGTGTGTGTGTGTGTGTGTGTGTGTGTGTGTGTGTGTTTATTGTCAGTGCGATGCTATTTTTCACCCATTCCGTTAGAGCAAATTCCATGGCCTCACGTCACGTGCCGCTTTGGCACACCGTCTTAAAAACACGCAATAAGTTGGCGATTTGACGGATAGAGACCATTCCGGTGTTCGCTCATATACCTGGTACCCAATAGTAATTTATATGATAGCAGCCATTTCATCAAACCGAACAACGACGTGTGAACAACATGCGTGTTGAGATGAAATTTTGATCCTACGCCACCATGAATGTTGTGTATGCTGTTACTACATATCAATATTTTATGTTGTGTGATGGCGTGGACAGAAACAATAAAACGTTACAAGAATACACTCATCCTTCTCAACACTTCTCCGATGGTGGTAAACAAATATTTTGAAGAATTTTGAAGAAGAAAAAGAGAGAAGAAAAGTCGCTATCTAAGAGGCAAAAAATATCAGCTATGAAACATTTTGTCTCTGAAACATGCATCAATAGAAACCATATCAATGCGTGTTTTGAATACTGATGGTACCTTAAGCCTTAATTGCCCTGGATATAGCGAATGTGGATATTTATACACACATATGTATGTATGTATATATATATATATATATATATATATATATATATACATATGTATACTGTAGTATACTGTGCAAAGTTTACGTTCCATTGGTAGACATGTCATATTTTACGTGGGTGTTTTAAAACACGAGCAAAATACATAATGTGCCACTATTCTTTTTAGAAATCGCATTGCACGTTATCTCAACAACCTTTACGGATTTATGGATCGTCAGCAACTGCAGTGGCCATCTTAACGCCCAGGGCTATGTGTAAGCCGCGCTTGGAACCCGAGTCTCCACATGGGAGCAGAAGCTCTAACCAGTCGGCCATTAGGCCCCTCCCTCCCCCATGTCTGCTGCTTGCTTTGATTAATAGTAATACTTTAGTCCTAAATGGCCCCGGATATGACCAGTGGCAGAGTGTTTCTCTGAATGAGCGTGGGATTTTGAACGACGGATAAGGCTGTGACTGACATTTTGTCAGGCATGCTGTTTAATGTCGTATGATTCTTACATGTTATATGCAGGTCGTAGAGAAATACGTCATTAAGGCTTCACAGGTCTTAATCTGTTTTGATTATCTTGGGTACTGACCGTGCTGCTGGCTCGAACACCACGCGGCTTGATTAAGCATCATGATAGTATAAGCTATCTTACAAGTCTGGTTCATTGCTGAACACATTGCGGCAGAGATCATGTGGTGAATAATGCTGAAGGCTTTAGCGTTCTGCGGTTACTCATTCGGGAGCTGTTCTGAATACATCACAGCAAACGACAGACAGCCGTGTTCACGGACAGTAGACACAGTGCTGAACGCGCGACTTTAAAACACTCCGACAACGACCATGCACTAGCCGTTGTCGGAGACGCGTCAAACGAACCCGGCCAAGCGTGGATTCATTCAAAAATGATTGATAAATTGGCGTTCTAAGAAGTGAATCGTTTGGCAAATGCTGACTAGATCATTGTTCCAGAATTTAATGACAATACGGCCCGTTGCATAAGCTTTGAACGCAGCCATTTTCTCTAGGCGACATATTTGGATCCGCTCATCCGTGGCGTTGTGGTTTTTCGGTCAGATCCAGTATATTAGTGATTGAGTTACCGTCACCTTTTTCCCCCAGGTCTGCCTACCTAGTCAAGGCCTGCTTATCTCACTCAGGTCCACTTACCTCACTCATGTTTGCTTATCTCACTCAGGTCTGCTCTTACTCAGGTCCTCTAATCTCACTCAGGTCTGATAATTTCACTCGAGTCTGCTTATCTCACTCAGGTCTGCTTACCGCACGCAGGCCTGCTTATCTCCCGTAGGTCTGCTTACCTCACTCAGGTCTGCTCAT